CAAGATGGAAGACCCCAAGTAAGGTATCAGGTATCACTTGTATGAGATGCGAATTTGGCCAGGAAAGCTTTCTTGCACGAAATTACGCTCAGGGTTGAGATAAACTCGAGCTCAGACGTAGCAATCCGACGGTGGAGGTGTCCGTCAAGTGAATCTGGCTCAGTTTTGTAGGATCGGTGATGACATAATTCCACGTAACTAACGGCCGCAGCCTAATTGGGCCCCGTCTCCAGAACAACCACCGAGTGGTTTGCGCCGGGGCGAGGCAAGTCCTACCTACGGTATATACTGAGATTGACTTTTTGGAGATGAATTCAAGTCGCCGGTAAGTGAAATTTACATCCTACAAATCTGCAGGCAATAGCAGTCTTGAAATGAGGGATGGAGGATGTGAGACTTGATGTTCGAGGCCATCTCTAAATGGTTCGCCACACGTGATTACACGAGAGACCCTTTGACCGGGGAAAAAGGGGGGTAACTTGAACAGGTAATGGTACTTTCTTATATTATGAGTTATATTATCCTTCATATACCCTGTTATAGACTTGCGATTGGATCACGCGGGCGGGAGGAAAGACCCGAACAGAATGGCCTGGATCAGTGCATAGGCGACCATGCCCCGCACAGCCACAGTAAAGGTGCGGCTGTCTTGTAGGGAAGGTCGGGTTTGCCCCCAGTTGCCCGACACCAAATATACGAGATACCAGTACCATAGTGGATACCCTGAAGATATCCTATTGATTATCTGAACATGGTAAGAGGTCAAAGCCATTACCGCAAGCAATCCTTGTGGTACAGCTAGTCGGAGAAGTAGGGAGGCTGTCGTGGCTGACGACGACGCTTGGTCCACTCCGCTCAAAGCTCTCGGAAAGATGAAAGGCACTGCCACATCCAGTGCCCATAGCGACGACCGGCTAAGTATGGCCAGCATCGGCATTGCCAGCAAGAAAAGTGGGATATTGGACACGGTCCAATACCGAAGAAATCCTACATTCCTGTTATTCAAGTTAGTAGTGCGTTCTGCGGTGCTAGTCAACCATCCCAACGTACCAGTAATGTCCTTGAACCCAGCGATAGATACTGGGGACAAGCCATTGACACCAAGGGCGTGACGCATCGGCGTCCACACAGTATGTGGTGTAGGCCACAGTTTGGGGAACGACAAGTCCCAGGGCAATGACACAGCCACTGATGATGATAACGGAGAGATGGGCACAGGCATCGATGGATAACCTTTGGCACCAAACCCGCCGAAGCTGCAAGAGAGCATCATAAGCATATAGAATACCACTTAAGATCCCATTACTGCGAACTGCAGTGGCTGCTGAGAACAGGATCGCAGCTACAAACAGTTTCACGTCGCCGGAGAGACGCTTCCCCGCCTTGTTATCGAGGAACGAGGACGAGTAGACATAGAACCCTGTAATGTTGAGCAAAGAAAACAAAGACTCCCCATAGGGCGCGGAAAGAAATGCTCCTGCAGGACAAATGATGTGCAGAAATGCCGAAAGAAAGCAGATTAGTCTCTGGGTGGCCGTGTCACGGCCAAATACGTTGACAGAGAGTCTATACAAGGCTAAGACTGCGAGATAATGGGCAACATGAGACAGAGCAGTCGCCACGACAGCGGTCCTGGCTGCTCCACTAGGGCCGATTAATCGGTGCAATGCTACATCCACAATTAGTGCTCGAATAACACAGCAATACACTTTCGATGAGGAAGACAGGTAGATCTACCAGTGGCAATATAGGCAAGGAGTCTAGTGTACCCGTAGCCGAACGCCCACTCTTGCTCAAAGAGGTAGCCATTTTCGGCGATATGCAAGAAGTAAATGGAATCCCAGCGGACGAACTTGAGCGGGATGGGAAGGTGCGCATAAGTGATGTCTTCTGAGGTGACATCAGGGCGACTGTGGCTATGGTAGAGATGGCTTGTGGAAGTGTCGTAGCCAAGGCCAGGGCAACTGATGATGACCAGATATACTAGAGCCTTCCAGAGACAGAACGCTACCGTTAACGCCTTGATGGGCTGGCGGGGATTTAGAAGGCTCGGGCGACTCGTCGCTGGAGAGCTCACGGAGGAGCTCATGGTCACCAGGCAGAGAGTACTTAGGTGTGTAATTTTCAATAGTTCTGTGTAGCTACCAGTTTTGCAAACATCGTAAGATGATTGTCAAAAACGATAATTGGTCGCCCAGGAGGATCCCATTCGCCCGTTCACCATAGATTGAAGAGGGATTTTTTGATCAGCCCGACATAATCATGACAAAGAAACCGAGGTAAAGCTAAAGGGGATCTGGAGAAGGCAAGACGCGTCGAAGCTCACCAGACGGGATGACGGACTGTGGATTTGATCGGTCGGAATCCTCGGCACGCATAAATCCTTCTTATTCAGCATCCACTGATGCACAACTACGTAATATTTGTGGACGGTGAGGGGACCAAATGAAACCATGACGGTTTGAGTCTCCATACCAGAAAGTACTTAGTGGCAAGTGTTGTGGAAACCCGGTCGATTGGTACACTGCTCTGAAGAAGAGTTTTCATTTGATAGAAATATATGTTCCATTCGATCTAACTGTTTTACATAGTAGTACAAAATAACTAACTAATTGTTTAGCCTGAGCATAGTCATCCTACGCTCTAGAGATACATCATAACAAGTTCAAAGGGATGATGATAATGATGATGATGTCAGACCACTTTGCCTCTCCGCATTGGCGAAGTCTTTAGTTACCTGCTCAGGTAGTATTATTCAGACCAGTCAGTTGACAGGGTCCAGTAGCCATCGACTGTTCTGGATTGGGTGAACAGGTCATTCATCCTTGGATCATCCCGCCGAATCCGCGGGCAGGTCAGCCCTACGGCGCGCTCGGAACTGATGGAGCCCGACTGCTTCAGTTCCAGTAATCCTTATTCAAATCTGCTGCAGGTTCACATGACGGAGAATGCCCGAAGCCTTCGGTATGGTAGGAATTAGATAAGACCATCCCCGTCGGCGTTGAAGAGAATATCCTAGCGCCATCGTGCCAACGGCGACAAGACAAACCTAGACGCCGACAAGCGCTAGTAGGAAAATCATTAAGATGATTAGCTACATTGGATCGAGTTAAACCCGCCTACTCATTATCAAGGTTGGGGGGTGACTTGGAAAAGGAAGAACCGGCTATGCCAGTTCCAGAACGTTATGGTATCTTTGCACTGAATTATGAATGTCGCTGCTAGCTCCGATTTGCTACATTGAACGCCTATACTATAGACTACCAGTACTAGTCAAAGTATGTACGACCAAAGTAGTGCAACAACGTACATACTGCCATCGTTTACGAGAGGCGCTTGATGCAGGGCCCCCCTGGCTCCTACGTATTGGTATGTAGTGGTGGGTATAATTAGTTAGTTGTGGTTTTACTAATTAGGCTCAGCTGAACGGACGAACGAAATATCCATCACGTACTCCATCCAGCATTGCCCCGGGGGGCATCTAAAGTGGTGTCCTCCCCTTTCTTACTTCGAGGTCGCCCGGGTCTCAGTCCAATGTACCGTAGTACTCGATAAATCATGCGGTGTACCTGAAGCTTGAAAGGACAGCCGTGCGTTTCTTTGTTATCACCCACATCATCACAGTAGTACCTTGCCAGGGGACGCCTGTGTTCTTTCAAAATATAGTTCCAATAGATTTTCGTACAATTAAGCCGAGAAGGCAGCTGACCAACTAAAATTTCTCCATAACTATGCCGTTCTCAGCCTCGCCCTCAGCAGCTAGAGACTTTTATTTCTCATGCAAGATAGGAGGGTCCGCGATGGAAACGTTACAAGACTAAAGAGAAAAGTTTGCCATCTGGTCCCCGCCAGAACCAGACCCTCGTTTGCTAGATCGTAATGCCAAGCCCGACCCAGGGAGTCATTCGGTCGGATTCCCTCGGGGAGACAACGAGGCATTTCAGGATGGCATTTGACACTGCCAAGTAGTCTCAGGATCAGTTAATACGAAAGGTAAGCTTAGCTGGACAAGGCTTAGATGGTTACCAGACACTAGGTCAGAAGATTGTATATTTGGCACTGCAGTGTTGGGCAAGGGGGCAGAAAGTAAAGTCTCATGGCACCAACGATCTGATCTACCTTTTCCAGCTAGACTAGTGAGTAGATTGAAGGGAGGACGAGTGTGATTACTGTGCTTTAGTCCTAATTCAGCCTTACGCTGGTCTCCGTCACCAGTGGCACTGAGTCAGCGCCGTGTCTGCCTCAAATTTGCAGACCCAGAGATCCAAACTCTTTTTTTGCTTGCTGCCTCTAAAATCCGACATCCGGTCCCATGGCACGGTGCGGACCTTACCGGCAAGTCGGAGCTTCCGGTTCCGTTGCAGCAAATGTCTAAAGCCCGAAGGTCCGCGGGGACACCACGATGGAGGGTTGTATTGCTCTCCCCGAAATTAATTGACATAGCATCGCGGCAGAGGACAACTAAGATACCAGAGCCTGACTGAACTAGGATGCTTAACCTTGTTTGTGCTTGGTAGGGACGTAGTCTGAGGTAAGTAAGGTAAAGCATGTATGAGGGTGGGTAAATGCTGATTACACCACAGGGCATAACATGCTCAAGCAGAAAGTATGTATGCATAGCAGCGGGCGTGGTTTTCTTCCTCTCTATTACCTAATCTCGATTGCATAATTCAGCTCCGATGCTCCGAAATGCTGTTTGTTGTCGGTCAACGGGTCGGTCAAGCTATTAATCTCCAATTCTTGACTGGTACAGTAAATGCTAAATAGTCCTGCTCCATGGAAGCATTAGGATGATCATCGTTATAATAATAGGAACAATTTATTAATCAATGAATCTATTAATTCTGCAGGGCAGAGTTCATACTTTGCACTTACTGTGCTGTAGTAATCATCCTCACTGATTTGATACGGGCCAAGCAATACGAGATGATTACGATGCAGCCAATAAACCGCCGATGGGGGTTGCCATCCAATGAAGAAATGTTAGTGTCGGCGTCTGGTTAGTTCCGAGAGAGAGGATCGTCGGCTAGCTGCTTGGGGCCATGGATGCGAGCTGCCGGCCATGGATGGCCAGGACCCAGTTCATGCAACGAGACCAGACGACCCAGCCTGTTCCTAGTACTTCCTAGAAACATTATTTTGTAATTTCTCGCGATTTGGCTTGGCTGACTGGCTCTTAACTGTAGATCGGGGGGAGACCTGCCGATGGTCCCGATGGACAGCCCAGCAGACAACCCCATCGCTGTGAGGGCGTAAGAGAGTAGTAAGTAGTAATAGTAGGATACGCAGACCAGACTCGCAAAGAAGACACTAAGGGGAAGAACAGCCCCCCAGCGGGATCTTGACCAAATGTGACCAACTAAACCGTCATTGTCACTTCTGGTTCCATGTGGGTTCCTTTTACTGTAATTTTTGCTTTTCCTTTTTTACACTTATTTTTTTTTTCTTTTTCTTTTTCCACATTGACCCTCCCCCATTTATTTAGTTCAGGTCAAGAAGCATGATGGATGATTCTTATTTATGACTATTTGCCCACCAGAATCATGGTGGGATCTTGACCGCCATCTTTTTCGCCCCCTCTAATCGATGATCCATCGATCCCATCTGAGTCTGACATGCGATTCGTATTCTTTTCTTTTTCCTCACTCATCTGAAAGTCTGAATATTAAGGCGCTTCTGGACCCCCTAACCCACACTGTCCGGCCTCCCTTACATACTTCCGCCCACTCTTTGCTCTTTTCTACTCCAATGTCCACGTCGTACGACATCTGAACTTCCCTATTCATCCATCTATCCGGTTTGCCTCCTGCGCTGACCTCAATCCCCTCTTTCGACAAATCTACATCTGCAGCTTCAGCCTTATTCTAGGTGGAGGGGTTGATAGTTGCCGTGCAGGTCACGCTCATTCTATCTACTACTTACTATACTTACTTTCCATCCACCCTCCATCTATCCTCCCCCTTCCTTGTCTTCTCGTCATATCTTCTCTTACTACTACCGCCACCATCGTTCCCCTGACCCGGGTGTTTTTCTTGTCTTTGTTCTCTTGCCTTCCATTGCTCTGAATTATTCAGCATATCTCTCTGGCACAACGAGGTTACAAAACAGCAAACGACGGCAACTTGTTAACTAGCTGGATCGGCTTAGGCTGACGTATTCTGTCAGCCACAGCCACCCCCGTCACTGTTATCATAGTTAATCCCCGTCACTGCCACTGATCTTCGCCGTCAATGTTGATCGGGGAAAATTAAACAGACGTTGTCGCATCCCCAGAAATAATGCTATTCAACCTTGGCTTGACAGCGGATGCGGCAGCAGCTCACGAAAACGAATACCCCGGGTTACCATCGGAAACCCAGCTCCCTAGCCCGACGCGTCATTCGTCCCCGGCAATCTCATTCGCTTCCCTGCCATCGTGGGGACTAGGCAGCATCTATAACCGGCGCAAACCCACGGAACCCGAAATGACGCAGCGTACAATGTCGCGGAAAGTTACTATTGATACACTATCCTCGAGCGATGACGAGCGTTCGACAGTCACCCCAGTCCTAGCTCCATCAAGGATCGCCCGTTCGCAATCAGTTCGGAAACAATCGTCGCGCCCTAAAACGTCATACCAGCTAGCGCATCCCGCGGCCCACGCACGCCATAGGCGATTAAAGCTCCGACCTAAGCTTCTCCTGCAGCTTCAACGTGTGTCGCAAACCCCACGACCTCTGCCACTTTTGGATGTGCTGCCCTCCACTGTGTTTCTGCCGCCTCTAGCTCGCAAGTTTCCGACGATCTTCCGCGGCAAAAAAGGACTAGGCCCCAATGACCTCATTGTCGTAACTAGTGACCTCTATGAGCGGGCGCCGGGCGATAATGGAGATAGGTCTTTAAGCTCCGATGATGAAGGCGGAGAACAACGTGAGGTGGTCGCAACGATATGTCAGCTCTTTAGGGATGACGCTTTATCCAAAGGAAAGGCGGAGATTTGTTTGAACCATGGGCCTGTTTGGGAGGCCACGCCTCTTGCCAACGGCTCCTACGAATTCGTGGCCAACACGGATGATGGTATCCAGATATTGCGGTGGGTTCTGAGAGGTGGGAAGAATCGTCGCGTGTCGGCGCCCCCGGGCTTCTCGCAAGAGGAGAGCAAGCGGTTTACGTTCAGTGTGATCAATCCCAGCACTCGTCGTCACCCTGTTGTTGGTACGATGACACGCAATTACCTCGAGGTGTACGATGAGTACTCAATTCCGACAACACCAGGTATTGCTGGCTCACCAACCTCCGCTATGTCCGTGTTGAGCGACTACTCCGAAATGGATGACCCATTGGATCGGAAGGTTTTGAAAACCGACAGTGACCTCCGCATGTTGATCATTATCACCAGCATCTGGGTAGCCTTTAGGGAAGGCTGGTCTCACAACTTCACTTACGACGACTCAGCCTTGGCAATCAACTCTAAGACAATGTGTCCGTCGAGACACAGCTCGCCAACTGCGATTCGAAGCGAGACTGACAGAACTGAGAGGGAAGATGGCCACGATGATGTTCCCCCATTGAATGGTCGAAGACATCGTCTCTCGACGTCCAGCTATGTCCCTTCACAATCGACGACGTCCGACCGATCTACGACCTTTGGAAGCTTATCGAGACGATCCAACTCAACTGGTGCTGCTTTTATCGAGCGGACTAACCGACGTGCTTCGGGTAGCAACGGTCGTCTTAACCGACACAGTACGCTCTCCAGTCCTCGTGAACAGAGACAGGACCAAGCTGTCGATGCCACACCTGCCCGACAGGACTCCAAAAGTCGCAGGTTATGGTCCCACAGAAAATCCGACGTCCAAGACTTCAAGGCAACAGCTTCCCCTGATCAAGCGATAGACCGATCCAAGGGATTCGATAACAACCAGTCACGCCAAGCCGATTCCTTTCGCGACAAAGGCATTGACTCTCCCGTAGACTCGACACCGAGTAAGGGAAAGCGTCGGCATCGGATTAGCAACCTCTTCGATTATATCATCCGCAAAACCGGACATCATCATTGAGCCAAGCCTGGAGCTTAAAATCACATACCCCATTCAGTATTCTTTTGCTCTGCACAATTGTCTTCTCTTTCCATCTCCCTCTTGCAGAGGTGAGCATACCTCTCGATTTCATCCAAGACACTACAATAGTGACACGAAAGCCTGGAGCTGCGGTTGTATTGTATGCAAGCGGATGGCAGGGCCTCATGCTGTGAGGCCAAAGCTACCGTTACTCCTTATCGCACTGGGTGTCTGGCAATTCTCTCCCACTTCCCAACCTTGCATGAGACTTGTCTCCGCACATCATCATCTCTCAGCTCTTCTGAACTTACCAGCGATATGAATACCACGACATAAATCTGATAGCGCTCCTTTTTCTGACATTCTTGTCTCCTCCCCTACTGATTCACTACTCTGGCATTGCCATCAACATCACCGTCACCTTCCTGTCCATACATATGTACAAACTTAGGTCCGCAGCATTGATTGCTTCCGGAAACTTACAGGTACTTCTTGAAATGGGTATTTTGTAGAGTAGGTACAAATATCTTGAAAAATACATATATTTGGCATACAGAGCATGTTTCGTCGAATTTGTAGTATCTATACGTATTAGAGAAAAGTACCTTCCAGCTAGTAGGAACATAGTGGGATTAGTTTCCGAAGGATCGCAGAGCACTAAATACGATTGGTTGGTAGGATTTGTTGTGAGCGATCGGCCTTGGAAGAGGAGGGGGGGGGGCGCAAGGCTTGTTCATCAATCCTGTCGATCGCTGATATAACTTTTAAGCGCATGAAGACGACGAGTTCGTTCGTCCTTTCTGTAATGGTAATTGAATGCCATATTATAGCTCATTGGAGTGAACTGAATAATACGATCTTGGAAGAGTATAGAATGACATTTTGTTTGTATAGATGATCATCGTATTCTATTCTTTACCGCTCCAGAGCAGTGATAGCCTTAGGGATGTAAGGCTCCTCCAGGTACTTAATTTCCTCATCGGTCAACTTGACCTTGGTACCGGCCACAGCCTCGTCAATGCGCTCCTTGCTGTTGAGTCCAAGAATAGGGTTCTCATTGGGGTGGCTCAGCGACCAAGCGATGGCCACCTGGGCCATGCTGACGCCCTTCTTCTTAGCGATCTCTTCGACACGATCGACGATAGCCTTGTCGGATTCTGTCTCGCGGCTGCGGATGAGGAATTTGAGTGCTCCGTCTGTTGCCTCACGCACAGTAGAGCGAGAGCCCCAGGGGCGGGTCAGCACACCACGAGCCATGGGCGACCAGGGGATCAGGCCCACGCCAGTGTCACGGCAGTATGGGATCATCTCGCGCTCCTCTTCTCTGGCGATCAGGTTGTGGTAGTTTTGCATGGAGATGAACTGGTGCCAGCCATTGCGGGCGGCGATGTTCTGGAGAGTCTGGAATTCCCATGCAGCCATCTTGATAGGCATGAGCGTGTGTCGTTGGAGGAAGAGGGAGAAAGTAGACGTACCGTGCTGGCTCCGATGTATCGGACCTTGCCACTCTCAATCACGTCGTTGAGAGCCCGCATGATTTCCTCACGGGGGGTATCACGATCCAGCCGGTGGATCTGTAGCACATCGATGTATGTTCCCAGTCTCTCGACACTGGCATCAACGGCGTCGAAGATGTGCTTGCGGGACAGGCCAACCCGGTTGACGAAATCACCGTCGTTAACACCGGAAGCAGAAATCGGAGGGAAGTTGCCTTGGTCGTCTACACCGAAGTAGCACTTGGTGAGGATGACAACTCGGTTACGGGGAATAGAGAACTTCTTCAGAGCTTTGCCAATGATTTCCTCAGAGCGGCCGTGGGAGTAGACATCGGCCTGGAAGCTGGTTAACAAGATATTGAGGCAAGAGAAACGTAGTGGCTTGATTGTACCGTATCCCACGTGTTGATTCCACGCTTGTAGGCATGCTCGATCAAAGGGAGAGCCTCCTCCTCATCGAGTACCCAATCCTGCCACTGCCTGGCGCCATAGGACATGGCGCCCAGAATGATTTTAGAGATCTTCAGTCCCGAGTTTCCCAGGCTACATGTCAATTTGTTAGCTAGGTCAGTATGTACAGTGCGAGTATCGCAACCGGGAGACATACCGGACGTATTCCATCTCATTGTTGGCAGCCATGGTGGATGTATTCAAATAACTGCAACGCCATGGTTAGCTATGATGTTGCCTCCACAAGCAGGCGGAAAGGCGGGGGGAAGGTTGTGAGATGTGGGAATCACCTACAAATGGAGTTGTAAGGGACCAATTGCTGGAGCAAAGTGATGTAGAAGAATTTACGATAAAATAAAGTATCTTGACGGGACTGCAAGCAGCTTATCAGTACTTTGCAGCTACCACTAATTGAAGTTCAAAGGTAAGGGACGAGCTAGCTAGCCAGTTCAGTCGAGTTGCCGAAGCACAGTAAACCCAGAGCAAGCTGGTTGACGCCATTATTAAGCTCCCCCACCGAACTGCCGAAAGTGCGAAGCGATGAGTTGCCAGAGCCGATGAGTTACCGACAGCCCTTTCTCGGTTTGAGCTGCTCTGGACCCATCGGTCCAGAGGATCGGGAAGCTTATGCGGGGTTCACTATGAAGATCATCCGTTATGGTACTCCGTACAGTTGTGTACTATGTCTATTGAAGAGAATAGGGGGTCATTCAGTATAGAAATACACAGCGGATTGGAAGTCGAAGGGGAATAATTAGATGACTCTTTCCCAGTCTCAGTCATACTTAAGAAAAGGGAAGGAGGGGTAGCCAAGGAGGGAATCCCGTGATCCACATTTTTGTCGCTTGTTCTTCTTCCTCCTCCTCCTCCTCCTCATCTCTCTCTGTCACATAGTTACCCCTCTACTGTTCGATCATCTCTGCTTTTTGCCACAATCACGGCACTGCCTCTTCTCCTTCAATTGAATGCACTGCTGCAGCATGTGCCTTTAGCAATCGGCATCGCCGTCTCGTCTACATCAGTAGGCAGCGATCTCCTGATAGGATAAAATGCTCGAGCCAATCTAGGTACACTTCAACCCCTGAGGAAGCCACAACAAAGTCACGGTTCTTCACTCGGAAAGCAGAGGAATAAGACGCCGGGGTAGGATCCCGTTCGAGCAAGGCAACCCCGCCAATGAACGGTGTTGGTGGCGGTGGCGCCAGCCA